ATTACATACTTCTAGACATGCGGCAGCGGCTTTCCTCTACGAGCTTCTCCTCCTCAGGGCGGCTGGGGATGTTGCCTATATTGTCGATCCTGCGGAGCGGCGTTGGCGCTGCGGCACTAGCGGGCCGACTGTCCCCGCTCTGTTTTCCTGGAGGCCGACGGGAGCGGGGCCCGAGTCCGGTGGTGGCCGTGTGCTTGGCGGCGCTCAAGCCTGGACCTGCTCGTTGGCCGCACAGGGCGGCGGCTGGAGACCCCGCGCGCTGCACCGGCCCGTCGTCATTAGCTTTAGGGAGCCGAGCTCCTGGCGGCCACGTAGAGGACGCCGGCGATTAGACGACGATGGTGCATTTTTTTAAATGGTGTCCTCGCGGACGGGTGGATGGATGTACCGTACACCTTCTCTCCTTTTGAGAGGCCGGACTTTACGCCCGTCTGTGTGTTATTCCTGCGGAGTAAGAACGCAACCCTTGGAGGTGAAGACGGCTCCTGGCTGGATTGGATTGGGAACCGTGTTTGTGGTGCATTTATTTCTGGAAATATGCGGTCTCTGCTAGTCTTGCTTTTGGTTGGCGGTGGTTTTGATTCTTCCCTAACAGTCGGGATAAAGACCTGCAGGCGACGCTGTGCGAGCCGGGAGCTGGCCCGCGGCGGACCCCGCTCCGGCGCCCCCCTCTAGGTGTGGGTGGAGCCGAGCGCGCGGAGAGAGCGGTCGACCCGGCCACCGGCGGACTGCGGAGACCGGCGGGCCTGGGGCCAGCGGATTTCAAACGTCGCTTTCCTCTTTACACTTGAAACACTGAGGCACCGAACAAGGCTGGAGTACAAAATGTGATTATACGTACAGTACGATTCTTGTAACGTTATTGTAAAACAAGAAGTAACTTCATCGTTCCACACTTCTCTATTGTTTATTTGTGTAAATTAGAAGGGTGCTATTCCTCAGGTAAAAAGTGCAGTAGGTAAGCGGGTTTTACTCAAAACGGACGAAATGTGTTAACATTTTAATGAATTCCATTAAGTTAACGTTAATCGTATTGTGTATTTGTGTATGTACCATTGCGCTATAAGTGGGAAAACTTGCCTAAAGGTTATTCCTTTTGTACCCCAAATCACTCAGGGAAGCTAACTATTGTCACCCCTGTGCTCTAGACCCTGCAATGGCTGACCATCTAGACGGGAGTAAAAGCCAAAGCCTTGACCGCAGCTTAAGACCCTGCGCACTATGGGGGAGGACCTGTCCTGGCACCCTTGCAAGTCGGACTCTGCCCTTGCTAGTCTTTCTGCTAGCCCCTTCCCCAAGTGTCCATAAGGCTTGCTCCCTCACCTTCAGGATTTTGCTCATGTCACCTCGATGCTTCCGAGGCCACGCTTTTAAAACTGCAAGTTCCCTGGCCCCCTTCTCATTTTATCCTGTGGTCATTTTACATACATGCATATTACTCGGTTATCTTATTACCTGTCTTTCCGCAGTGGAATGTAAGCTCCACGACAAGAGGTTTTGTTTTTCTCTACTGTTATGTCCAGCGCCTAGAATCATGCCACACAGTAGGGGCTTAATATTTCGTTAATGGATGAATGATGATTATAAGGGCCTTGACACCCTGCTGCCCTCCCCTTTTCTGAACTCTATACTTTTATATGTACTTATATTTCGTATATACTTAACATACGCTTATATGCTACAGAGAAGTTTATGGAAAAATTATCCGGGGGAAAAATGCAAGTTTATTATAGAGTTCTGGAAAAAGAGATTACATACTTCTAGACATCTGAGAGCCCTTCACAACACCAGAAGCACACAAACTAATGATAATTACTTGTTTTTAGGTGACTGGACTGTGCATTACTTTATCATATGATAATATCCATACTGGGCCAGTTAGCTTTGCTCTCCTGAGTATCACAAACTGCATTCTTTATCCTGTCTGCCTTCTTTCTTGCAAAATACATGCTATTTTCACTAGAAATACGTGCTATTTTCACTAAATTAAAGTCTGTGAGAATTTGGTTGGCTCAGCCCAAATCTGGCACTACTGGGAAAGTTCATTCAGCAAGTATTTATTTGGGCACTAAATGTGTGCCAGGCGCAGTGATTGAAAAGGTGCGTGTTTCTGAGGCTAGGAGGCTTTATATAAAGGACCACAGATAGCTACTTTGGTCACTACTCAATTATGCTGTCAAGCAAAGCAAATGTTAGATTTATTTTTAGTTTTCTTCTGAAGAAAAGGTTCAGTGAAAGCTGAGGTCAGTCTTAGTGTGGATATTTTAATTCACCACTTAGTTGGCTGTTTATTTGCATTTACTTACCGTATGATAGCACCAGGTATACCAACAAATTAATTGAAAATGATTTTTGAAAACTATATAAAACAAATGTGAGGAATTTTATTTCCTAGGGGCTGGTAAAGTAGGCCTTTTAAGTTAAAATAAGTAAATATATCAGTAAACTAGAAACTGTGCAGTAAGCCTTTGGCTATAATATTATTACAAATTTTCATATTTCACATATTGAATTTTTGGACGAGATAGTCTTGATAAATATCTATAATACAATTAAACATTGTTTAGTAAATCAAATAGTCTGTTCATTATAGGTTTACCCCCAAATCTTAAGAACAGCTTTAAGTAATACAGATGGCTCTGGATGTGTTCTTCATTTAGTTTCAAAATACCAGGACTTCAGTTTGCTTATGGAAACACAATTATCTTTCTATATACTTTGTTCAATGTTACTGGTAAACTAGTAATTTTGCACGTCCAGGTAACTGCACTGATAAAATCTATGGTGTAAAGTTTCGGCACTATTGTAGCATTTAACTTAAAATTTTAATTTATAATTAAAATATTTTTTAGTTTCTTCCCTCACTTAAATACTTATTGAGGACTTATTAGGGGCTAATTAGCTTTATGCTAGCAAATATAGTATATACGGGAGTGAATGAAAACATACAAGGCCGCACTGCCTTTGTAGGTTTTAACTTGCATATAGTTTATACCAATTTTTTTTCCAGATTATAGAATTAAGGAAATTGTCTCAAAGCATATCAGAATATTTCTCCATCAGTTAATGTTTTACCTGCTTAAATTCAAGTATCTGAGTTGAGATCTTATGTAGGATCTGTTAATCTAGCATTAGTGTTTTCTTGATATCATTGTCTTTTTTTTTTTTTTTTGCTTAATAATTATTTTGCCCAACACCATTGATTTGTTTTGCTTTTACATTTTTTAATCATTTATGTCCAAAATCAGTTGACTACGGTAGTCTTATAATTCATTGTTACATCCTTGACTTGTCAATTTTAGTTTGGAGGGTAGCCCAGTAAATTTTTAATCTGACCTAATATTGCCTCCTTGCTTTAAGGACTGAGTTGCATGACAGTTTTATTTGCCAAGGGTGTCCCTGAATATTCCCATATTTTGGCCGGGGGGGGGGGGGGGCCATCATTTATGTCCAAAATCAGTTGACTACGGTAGTCTTATAATTCATTGTTACATCCTTGACTTGTCAATTTTAGTTTGGAGGGTAGCCCAGTAAATTTTTAATCTGACCTAATATTGCCTCCTTGCTTTAAGGACTGAGTTGCATGACAGTTTTATTTGCCAAGGGTGTCCCTGAATATTCCCATATTTTGGGGGGGGGGGGGGGGTGCCTGGCTTGTATAGGGATCTGAACCTGTGACCTTGGTGCCAATATGTATCCTTAATAAATGAACTGCATCAGATTTAATAAACATTTTTTAGTAGATTTTAAGTATTAACTATCTGTATAGAATGTCATCAGCAGGAATTGGTGCAACTGGCAAATTATGAATTATTATCGAAGAATATTTATCTTCAAGATAAATACAATTTACCATAGAATGATAGAAATGGAAAATTTTAGAAAGTCATTTTCTTCTATTTTATGCCTGCCAGTTATTCTTTGTTAGTGATAACATTATCTCTTATAGGAACAAACTTTTAAAAGGTTAAAAGACAGTGTATATATGTTTTGTAGGTTATTTTAGGACTACCAAAATTCATATTTAGGATAATTAAATTACTTTTAGGATGACTTTTAAGAAACTGATGAAGAGTTAATTAAGGATGTTGATTTTGAGAGCAGAGCTACAAAATTATCAGATAACTTAGTATGGTGTATAACTTAACTTATAAATTTGGTGAAGATATTTACTTTGAAAATTTGAAATAGTAGATTTCTGTTTCAGATTTTCAAAGTAAATACCTTCACCAAATTTATGATAGTATTTATGAACCTTAGTCATTTTTATCCATTTTTTTTAAAGACTGAAATGAGTTGTTTTTTTCCCCCATGGATGCCTTTATTTATCTTGGCCTATTCTGCTCCTTTAAGAACAAGCTTTGTCCTTTCATTATGCCTTCTCACCTATTAATTTTTTTAATTTCTAGATTCTACTATCCATGCCATTCATTTACAATCCCATGACTTTCCTGTATTGTTTATATTTTTGTGTATGCCTTATGTTCCTAAATCAAAGTGACCAGTTTGATTTTACAAGTTGCCCTGTGCAGTGTAAAAGGTAGAGCCCTCAAAATACGCATTTCTGAAATATGATTTCAATATAAAGTTATTTGAGGTCATAAATCTTCATGAAAGCCTAATCTTCATGGAACCTTACACATGTGCTAGATGTGAACCAGAGAGTTAAACTATGCAAGTATTTTAATACTGAACTAATTTAGAAAAGCATCAGTTAAAAAGGATTTTTATCTGTGAAGAAAGAATACAA